AAAAAAAACTACCTGGTTAAGGAGCAAAATCAGTATAACCCATATACTAAGCATGTTTGGATATGCAAATTTTTACTTATTTATTTTTATTTTTGAATTACTAAAATTTTTAAATGATTMATACATAAATTTTGAACAAATGCTTATGATTTGAAATATAATTTTTGTATTTATGAGAGTTGTATTGAATTTTAACATAAAGAGATAAAAAGTATCCWATCTCCTTATCCTGCTTCTAAGCTACCTCCCCTCCAATTTTAAGTCAAATCGGTTCACCCGTTCTTGAGTTATAAACTTACTTAATCTACATACTTGTAGATGACAGAAAATAGCAAAAAAGAAAAAAAAAACAACAAACACATGCCGGAGCTGTAGCACATGAAAATTTTCATTAGCTCTGTGCTACCGCTATGCCAGAGCATAGCACAGAATTTTTTTTTTTTTTACCTACAAAACTCGGAGTAGAGTAGAGCATATACTTTTACATTGTTTTGCTAAGGCTATGCTGTGGCTCCCAACAAAGTGAGGGCGGTAGCAAGAGTAAAATGAAATGCTACGGGAATAGCGTAGTTTTTCAAACGCTGGTAAAAAGTAAGTTGAGTTACYGCCCAATTTGTAGATATGCACATACAGTCGCCGTCAATAGGTTAGACGCAACCGTACTTGCGTTAATATATAAGTAACAAATAGGACCAAATTGTGAATCTAAACCATCCTCGGATCACCTTGAACTTCTTCTTYTTCTTAATTGGCGTAGACACCGGTTATGCGATGATAGCTGAGTTAACAACAGCGCGCCAATCGTTTATTCTTTCYGCTACGTGGCGCCAATGGCATATTCCAAGCGTAGCCAGGTCCTTCTCCACATGAACCTTATCCACCTGCTTCCACAGGCAGGTACAGYGTCGCAGAGCTGGAGTGTTTTCGGCCATTCGGACAACATGACTATCCAGCGTAGCCGCTGTCTTTTAATTCACTGAACTATGTCAATGTCGTCATATATCTCATACAGCTCATCGTTCCATCGCACAAAGAACCAAAAATCTTTCGCAGAAATTTTCACTCTAAAATTCATCAGTTTTTGTCATCGTCCAAGCCTCTGCACCATATAGCAGGACGGAGTTATGAGTGACTGGTGGAATTTGGTTTTTTTCATCGAGAGGACTTTGCTTCTCAATCGCCTTCTCAGTCCGAAGTACCACCTGTTGGCAAGAGTTATCCTGGATTAGATTACCAGACTGACATTGTTAGTGGACGAAATTATATACGACTTCAAAGTTAATACTGTCAACAGTGACGTGAGAGCCAAGTCGCGAGTGCGACGACTGCTTGTTTGATATTTTGTCTTGCCCTCGTTCACTGCCTGACTCATTTGCTTTGCTTCCCTATCCAGTCTAGAGAAAGCGGGTGTTGAGGCCGATCCAGCAGCTGTGCACTCTTTAGACGATGGTACCTTCTCTATTTAGTTCTGCAACTCGAACTATTTGCTCCAGAAGTAGGTTGAAGAAGTCGCACGATAAGGAGTCGCCTTGTCTGAAACCTCGTTTGGTATCGAACGGCTCGGAGAAGTCCTTCCCGATTCTGACGGAGCTTTTGGTGTTGCTCAACTTCAGTTTGCACAGCCGCTTTAGTTTTGCGGGGATACCAAATTCAGACATCGCGACATAGGGGCAGCTCCTTTTCGTGCTATCGAAAGCAGTTTTGAAATCGACGAAGAGGAGGTGTGTGTCGATTATTCATAGTCCTTATTTCGTTTGCCATGGTCGTCATCAAAAGAGGGGTCTCTCATCCGAGGCTTGTTGTTCCTTTTCAGTGGCATGATTTTTTACGTGGCGGGTCCCAAACCCAGTGCACAACCCTGCGGAGGGATGTTTCGCCTTCTCATTTTACATCGCCTTCAAAAGGTTGTTTTTAGACTACCCAGAGGAGCCTTGATCAAAGACCAGAAGTCGTGAGCTGCTTGAGTCATATGTGAAAGATCAGAGATCTTTCCTCACTTGCGTGAGCACATGACTCATCAAARTCGGTATAGTCGTTTAAGACGAGTTAAGTGACATACACATGTACACAAGAAATATACAGCCTGTTTTAAATGCTCTATACTTTTTGCTTTATCGAATACAATTTTTTTTTGTATATGTTCAGAAGGTACCGTTGTCACCGCCATTGATGATTTTAGTGTTAAAAGTGTCTGGTAAGAGTCTGCGTGGCATTCTATAAAAATACTCAGTGACAAAGCGTAGAAAAAGTAATTTATCAAGTACAGTAATTAGTGTTTTTCATATTAAAACTTAAAAATAAAAACTTACAAAAAACTTAAAGGTGCGCTAATTCTTTACTTTATAAATCTTGAAATTGTATTGTTAAATAAAGTCATCGTTTTTGTTTTTATTTAATTTTTAGAAATATTGAGGCCATTTTCTTAAAGTGAATTTTCAAAAATTCTGAAAGTGAATTATAAACAATTAATAAATTAGTTTGCATAAAGATGGTCGCAAGCAGCATTATATTTCTGAAAAATGTAATAAAAGCCAGGAAAGTTATTGCCGGTTACAACAATGGATATCGAGTCATCATGAAGAATGAAAATGGCGCCCAGAAATATACCGGATAAAGTTGATAAACAAATGTTGCATGTTTTCAATTCTGATCCYTTCAAATCAGTTCCAAAATTTTATAAAAAAAAGTCGAGGTGCACACTGTGCAACAGATTGCGTCAAGCCAATATTCACGGCCGCGTTACAAGAAAGGTACCCTACCTAAATGAGACAAGTAGGAAAAAATTACAAACATTTTATGAAGAGCACTATTAAAACCTCAAAATTTTTGATATTAAGTGCTCTGGACTGATGAATCGATGATTAGACTTCGATACTCCCACGGTAACAATCATACAAGTG